CCTTGGTAACCCGAGCGACGACCGAGCCGGTATAATTTTCGAAGGCGTCAATACCATGAGTGGCAGGTGGGTGAATTTTGCGGAGACTTGCCACGGTCTCCAACCCTCCTCCTTTCTCATCCGGACATGATCATTTCTTTCTTCACTATATTCACTGCTAGACTATTCTTGCCTTTCTTTGCAAGCGTTGAAGCGTTTTCAGGATCTACTCCGGTCCGATCTCCAATTCTAAAGTGGAACGGATGTGATGTTCATACTCATTCGCTTTGTAGTAAAAAATTTCGATCATTGGATGAAGACATTCTACTGCGCGTTCACAGATTATTTCTCTACGTGTAATACCATGCCGTTCAGCAGGATATTTTCAGCAGTGTCAAAACTCACATCGATCCTTATGCCTTGCACTGTCGGCTGATTTGTCTGTCAAGACGTACCCAATATGCGCCGCTGCCATGGTGGCGTTCGTATTAACTAGCAAATGGTGCCGAATTTGTGCCTCACAAAAAGCCATCCTGTCGCTGATGTCAAATTCCATATTAACGAATGATTGCAATGTTTTACCTCCGCATTTGCGGTTAAAATTTGCTGACGACACTGTGGTGGTCACTTCGATTACGGAGGAAAGACAACACGAGAATTACAGACACGACGTCAAAGCAATGACCACTTTATTTTTTGGAAATAGCCTAAAGAATCGATTGAAGTAAATTAGAGAATCTGTGTACGGTATAGCACTAAAAATTTACGCTCGCTAATGTTCTTAAAGGCAAAGTCAAGGCGCCTTATCCGCTGATAGACTTACTGATCACCCACGAGAAATTCATGTGATGCCTCAGTCTGAAAATCAACGTGACCTCACCTGAGCAAACCGTATGGCCTCTCTCAGGTCGAAAAACTTCGCACTATGCCTGGAGTTGGGCACCTAAAAGAACTTCGTTAGTTATTTTGCACTCTTTGCATTGTTTCGATCACTATTTTTAGGGTCTGGAAACCTCTTTCACTCAATTGTTGCACATGTACTCAGCTCATGCAGCAAGCTTGTCATACAACCACGTAGCAGTATATTTTTGTTTCAGATATCACAGTAGTCACTTGACGCTTGTATTGAGAAGATTTTTAATAACCCTGCTTGCCAGCTGCATACACAGTTGACGTCATATCTGTCACGATCCGTTGCTACGCGTATTCCCGGACGATGAGCGTCTGACGCTTTGTAGTTCTACATCTCATTTAAGTAAGATGTGTGTCTGAAAAATTTGAAACATTTTACGAGTTAGCTTAAGATTTGACGTTCGGTAAGCAGTTTAGTGAAGGAGCAACCTTGAACCAATTCAGTGTTCTTTTTCTGTATTGTACATATCTCTTGATCACATGGTGACAGAAAACATTTATGTCAATACGAAGTCAGGCTTGACTGCGGCTTGTTCCCTCAGCGCTCGTTTTTTTTCGAATTTTCACAAAAAGAGGGATGTGAAACTAACTCTTCTCACCCACATCAATTGCATTTATCCATCGATAATTGTTACAGACCATTTGTTCTCTCTTTGAAGGTGGAATAAAGGGAAGCGTTAATATCTCAGTCCATTCCTGTTGGACTCTTTCTTTGGCCCAAATTCTTCAGAACAGTGCGGATATGTATTCTCTTTCAAATTCCGGATTTAGCATTTAGATGTACGTTGTCAATCCACCTTTAAGTTTCTTGGTCTTTTATTCATCTCTGCCACTTCATGATTCTTCTTTAATTGGTCAGTTAAAGTGGTATATTCTCTCTGCCGCGCTCTGTGCGGTGATGGTTTGTGGTTTAGAAGATTTCCAGTGTTCTGTCCGTTGAATCAGACTCCTTGTGAGCAGAGATGATATGGAAACTTATGAAGTCGTACAATTAATTGTTTGCTGAAAATGATCTTATCAGCTTGCACAGAGTTTTCTTATCACCAACAAGAAAAGCATGCTGCATTTGTCCATTTCCTCCGAAACCTTTATAATCAAATCAGCTCTGACTGAACATGCCACTTGTCGACGAACGGTTAGGAAATCTGCATTGCCTGAAACTGACGCTAGTCGAGCTTAATTCACCAGTTGGATCGCCCTTACCAAAAGAGAATATTTTTTCAGGTAGTGGTCATGGCCCAGTGATGACAACGTCAGCTTCGGCTAACGCTTTTTACTTTTTCTCAGCATCAGCGGGCGGCTGTGAGGCCTGCAGTTGAAGGCGTTTTATACATCGTTGTGAAATACGGCTGACGATTTTGGACTGCTTTTTTAGTTTGATTAGTGGCTTGACTCTGTGTCTCACATAATGAAATGGTATAAGCAGTGCGAGTTACCGGTTTCAGCTCCAAACAAAAAGCTGCTACACAAGAAGGAACTGGCCCATCTCGTACTGACCAGGATTTAATCAGTGTTATGTGTTATGTGCCGTGCGCCGATCATTCGAATACCATTGAAGAAGTGTCTTCAGCGATGTTTGAGTCAAATGCTGCTTACGATCAGCCACTGATGTGCCAACAGTTAAGCACAAGGAACAACGGTGGCATTTATTCTTTACTATTCATTTCTGGCTTCCCTGACAACTACAGATGACATTAGAATAAAAATAAACAGTAAAATATTATATTTCAGCTTCATATGGCACGTTTTCCATTGTAGTTATTATCAAACAGTTATTGATCCCGTTTTATTACTTTTCATTAACTAATTTCTAGCTGCTGTTGGATCAACGTTATGAGTACTCTACTCCTTTGACTTACTTATTGAATGGAATTAGTGCTTATGCACTGTTTTTTGTTTTCTAGTATATATGTACCCTCT